TGTTTACTAAATACAATATTAACTATAATTGCTCAAGAAAATAATTTTTCTTAAATAATAATATATTATTAATTGAAGATTATTCTTTTGAATAATAAAGTATTATTCTTTAGAATGATAATATTCTATTCTTTTTAATAATATATTATTCAATTAAATAATAATAAGTCATTTAATAAAAATGACTTTTCTTGAAAAATAAAGAATTGTCTAATTAAAATAATAAAATATTATTCTTTTTGAATGATAGAGGATTGTTCAATTAAAATGATAAAAATCATTTTTCTTGAATAATATGACTTTTACCTTTATTATTTTCTTTATTTTCTAAAATACTTGAATGACAGTTTTTAAAAACAAAACTTTTGCTATTTGCCTAAATTAATTTAAATGTAGAATCACAGAAAATCTTTTTGATTAGATTGTATAACATTTTGTAAATAAAAGTATCTTACTTTGACTGTTGATGATCTGAAAGACAAGATTAAAAATACCTGGAAAGACTTACTTCATAAAAACTTCAATCTATACAGAAAAGATTTTCTTCAAGATAATTTTGTTTTTGTTTAGCTGACTGAATACAAAATAAAGATGTGCATGTTTTATTACAATTGATTATGCATATTCGCAAATATAAATTTTATATTACTATAATGTAATTTAATGTGCTTATAATACATGCGAAAATAGTGATTTCATATACATTATTTAGTGAACATTTTTTTATTCATGAATAGAACACTGAATCTGCAACAAAGATTTTACATTATTCTGTTTGATCCATCGAATATTCTTGATTTTTTCTTTTTTTAAACGAACCTTGATTTTTATCTCTTTGTCAAAAATAAAAAATTCTTACATTAGAATGCATTTGTTACCAACTTAATGTGAAAAGATACGCACCTAAGATTTTCCACTAGTCTCTCAATGGTCTCTCCAAAAACATGCTTCATATTACGATCATCCACAATAATCACAAGATCACCATATTCATTTAATCGAAACAATTCAGATCTTTTGCCAGTTTTAATGCCAGCTCTATGTGGAAGTTCCACTGAAACATAAATATGTTTTCGATTTCTAATGAAAGTATTGATTTGTTTGTGATTAGAGAACTCAGATATCTGGTAATTCTTGGTGTTTTCGGTGTAGTCCAAATCATAATCCAAACCAACATCATTTAAATCTTGGCCATACTCTTCATCCTCCTCTCCTTCTAAGTTGTCCTCTTCATTAGCTGTGTCATCATTCGGTAAATCAGCATTAAAACCAATTTTGAGGCGTTTTGGTTTCTTCTTTGGGGTATTCGTTGGACATTCCATATATTGAAACCTCAAACATGATTTGATTAACTGATCTTTGACTTTTTTTCTCGTAATAGAATCACTACTAGAAACTGTACAGCCTGCCGATAATAGCACAACATTTTGCTCATCATTCTCATCCATGAGAGAAAGTATCACATCTGATCCTGAACGCTGTTCTGGTTGAATTGCGTAAGAACTATAGGTCATAATGTTTTTAACATATTGAGTTATATGAACGCTATTTGATAGATTTGAAGTTGTAATAAATTTCATCTTGGGAGTGATCCATGAAGGAAGATCAAATTGTTGTCCATTTTTCCATTTATCAAGTTCTTCTCGTACATAACGATTGCGTTTCTCAATGATTGCCGTAATAAAGACCGCATCAAATTCATTGTCAATTGATGTAACGTTATTGAGCATGATAATGTTATCAACAAAGACATCTATCATTTTTTTATTTCGTTTTCGTTCAAGAAATAATTTAATGCTGTCAATAAGGTAAGATTCAAACGATGTGTTTATTTCGATTTCATGACCAAATTTAGAATTATATTTGAGAACAATGCATTCTGGTGACTGGCAAGGAATGATGCTGTGCTGGAGAAGTTCTATAGCTTCCTTGAACTTATGATTATAAAAAACACGAAGTCTAAGAACGTCCATAATTGCTTTCTCTGAATTGAGATTATCCGCACCAAAATATTCACACGCGTTTGCCAAATAATCTGCCATGGAAGAGCAAATTTCATGTTGCCACAACGGAATAAGTTCTCGTAGCACTTGATCTTTTGTTTTACCATTTGATCTCGGCATTGATATTAACAGCCGAACAAATGATGCACAGTTTCGAGGTCTCCCCTTGAGAAGATTTGCCAGGAGGTCGCGAGTTTCGGTTTTAACATGCTCAAGGTCAATTACGGCATCAAGGTTCCGCAAGACATCATCATGCGAGAGAAAGGGAAGTTTTAGCACAATATGAGTTTGCAAATTTGAATCTTTTCCAACAGAAGTGACAAGAGAAATTCCACTCGCCATACGCATGTATGTGCCAGCAAGAAGGCAGGTAACGGGAAATTGGAGAAGGTGCGCTACATAACCTTGCAAAAGATTCCATGTTTTGCCACGATTTGACCCTTTATATTTTCCATATTCGGATGAACATAAGACTTGCGACTCATCAAACATTAAGGTTAGATTAGCTAATTTGAGACAAGCATTAATTTTCTTGATAAGTATAATAATAGTATCAGGATCATATTTTCTAAGGCGTAAGATACTTCGAGTTTCCGAATCATTCATTTGAAGCTGTGCCAATAACCATTCCTTTGGTGTTGAAACTTTTTTCTCAATAATTATCTTAATAAGTAAAAGTCCGCGTGAGAGTATTGCTATGTCCAACATGCGAAATGCATCAATTTGTTGATCATCGAGTTCAAACTTAGGTTTTACACGTCTGATTTCTTCAAGTTCTGTTATCAAATGGACGCCATAATAACCTATAATAGGAGAAAAATCAATATAGATTGACCAACGTTGCACGGCAATTCCGAATATTGTCGATGTTTTTCCACCTCCTGAGACCCCGGCGAGAACGATTATGTCTTTCGGTCTTTCTTCAATCTTTTTTTGCACAAAAGAAACCGTTTCTCTGAATTGTGGGTCATCATAGAAGGGATTGTGATAGTTCTCTCCGGATATATTGTAAGAAGGGAGGCACAGATCAACTTTTGTGAAAGTTCGTTCGGTTATACCACGGGGCAAGCTTATTTTGAAAAAAGAGGGTGCCGTCCTCAGTTCAACATACGGATCATTTTGTGAAACTGTAGAGCCACTTTCTAATGCCTCAATGTCCCAAATCAAGGCGAGCGCGTCAATAAGTTGGTCAATTGAAAGAATATTCATGTGTGGAAAAGTCTTTATAACTAAAAAACAAGAGTAGACGTGAGCGAAAAATCATTTAAAAGAACCAAACTTCCAGTGCAACGAGCCTTTATTTTTAATTTCAATTTTAACTTCGTCAGGAATGATGTGCATCGACGAAACTAATGCAGTGAAATAAAAAGAAACAAGACACTTAAAATCCGCTTGTTATCGTTGATCGTAGCTTAAGCCTACAGAAAAGAAATCTTTGTTTGATTGGTAAACCATTGGAGACACTTACTAGTGGTACCAGGCGGTGGTTTTTCCACGATGATATGGATTATCTTTACCTCAGGTGGTTGTTGTTTACGGTAGTCTTCTGGAATTGCGTCTGCTGGAAACAACTCTTCGCCTTTGAAATCCCTTTCGATATTAACTTCATGAGATGAACGAGACGCTTCGTCAAGTATACTCATATTTTTGTCATTGATGGGAATTTTGACTTTCCATAGTACGAGTTTGTTTTCGTCAACATTGGTAAAGGTTTTTTCCTTATCTTATAAATTGCACTCCTGAGTTGCGAACCGAGAGTAAATTCATTGGTAATAGGAACTGCAAATAGGCTCCTTTTAGCGGGAATTTCACCTAGAACAAGACAAAACATGATATTGTGCCTGTAAACGCGAAATTCGAGTTAAAAACAAAGGGTCAAAAAATCAACCTTTCAGTAAAATATTAAATAAAGACCTTTCTGTATTTTCTGTATGATTTGTATACAATCTTGTATTTTCAGGTGGGAAAATTCCCTCAATTCCAGTTTGTACTGATGAACCGCTTGATCGATATCGATTCATGTCGTGATGACGAGTGACGAAATGTTCTAGATACTTCGAAACTTTTATCAGTTTTTGTGTGGTATAATGGTTATGATCTATGATCTTGGTGAAACACTTAGTTCTCGCTGAATCGGTTATCTTCGTTAATTATTACGTAATTACGATAAAGTCCTCACTATAAATAATACTATTTATCAACGCCAAAATGTTTGGTAAAGCACAGAAATATAAATTCTACGTTATGACTGAATTTTCGTACGTAGATTTGGTAATAACTTATGATGAGGTTGTTATGTTGGCCAGAATTTAAGATTATTATTATTTAATCTACTAGACAACGCTTTAAACTTTATAGTAAAAATAGGGTAGGGTCATTGAATTCGTTTAAGGTCACCAAATACCAAAATTACAGAATAAATATTTTTGAAAAATCGGGGGTATTGGGGCTATTTATAAAAAAGAATTTGGTGTGGGAGATTTCATGTGATAATTTAGCCGTTTATTGGCTCGGATTAGAGACCTGAATTAGTCCAAATTTTGAAGCCCGGCCCACCCGGGCTTAAATTCGTGTTTAAAATGCCAGCCCGGACTCCGATTATACATTTACTAGATTATTTGAAAGATATGCTTTTGGTGAAAGAGTTGGTTTTTGTTTATTTCTATTTTTTTTTAAAAAAAAATTGCGGTTGGATGTGGAGGATGAGCTGGTTGGAAGAGGATGTGGATTGGATGTGAAGGTGGAGGTGAAGGTGGAGGTAGATGTGGATGGTGACTAAACTTTAAAAAAATAATCGACATTTGCGACTATATTAAAAATGGTCATCATGATTTCTTTAAAAGAATGTGGTAAAAAAAAAAAGTTGATGAGAGAAACTGATGGGACTTTATACTTTTTATTTATTTATATATAAAAAAATAATAAAAAAAATTTCCCCACTCCTTTTTTTTTTTTTTTAGAAGTTGACATCATAAAAAATTCGATATTTTTTTTTAATCAATCTAAATCTGTTGATCTTCTTCCCATACCAGTATCAACACCATCATTACCCTGCTTTCTTTCAACAAATGATACACTAGTGCCATCTAAATCTTTCAAAGCTTCTTGATAAGTTGGAGGAGGAAGATTTAAGAAAAATGAAGGATTTGATCCTCTATCAATAACTTAAATAACCCTATCATTTTCATTATTCGCAGAAATTTCTAACCGTGACGAATCAGGCATGCAATTATGCGATGAAGAAGAATATACAGGTGGAGGTGGCGAAAAAGATAAATCTTCATCCATTAAAGTTGCAAATGAAAGATTATTTAAAGAACAATTAACGTTGACGGAGGATGTCGAACGATATGACAAGTTGTAATCACAACGTAAATCCTCTACAATGTTAACTGTAAAGAATTCCTAATACAATGTGTATAATTTTTTAGGTCAAAAAGATTTTTTTTTTTTTGGCGTATTTTAATTAAAATGTATAAAAAAATTTTACCGTATAGTTGGTAGGTTTTTGATTATTTTCTAAAGCACGTGACGAGAGTAATCATGACTGTTATATTTTGTAACAAGTAAATGAATTTCACGTTGCATCTAAATGTATGAAAAGAAACATCGATCTTTTTTAGTTTTCCATTTAACATTGTTTCCGTCAAAAATTGATACATACTTTTCTTTTATAATTAATACAAACAATGCAATACCAAAGAATACAACCCAACAAAGATTAATGGTAATATTCCACCAATTAATCCAATATAATTCTTTGAAAATAGTTTAGCGTAACATATCCTCTATGGATTTGTTTTATAATGACTACGGGAAATATCGTTATTATACAAAATATCGGTAAGAGCAAGGGTAATATGATATGTTTTAAATATTTCTCTTGATATGTTTTATAAACCAGATTAAATGATTTTAACCGGGACGTAAATTCTTCTTTTGTGAACTTTTGAGAAAGAGGAAGCAAAAAAAGAAAAGGTTATTACTAATTTAGAATGACATTGTAAATAATGTTTTTACACGTACATAACCGTCTAATTGATTATTATAAACTTCATCTACTTTACCATCTATAATTGGAACCTTTACAATTTGAATTATATTTATTTTGATAAAAAGATCTCACGTAAAAGGAATTACAATTCCTCTCCTATTTATATTTCTTTTGTATTAGTAAAAAAAAAAAAGTTAAGGTACTATGTATATACCGAAAGAAAAATTTAGGTTCAAAATCGCGTTCAAAATAAAAAGCACGAGACAAGTTAGATTCATGTAACAAATAATCGTGGGTAATACAGATTTAAATTTATGGGTAATTATAGTACCAAAAAATATTTAATTAATAGGACTAAAATAGGAATTCACCTCTTATTATTTATTGTTATTTTTTTCGACCTCAAAAGCATGTCAAAATAAATAAAAAGGGTATTGATAATTGGTTCCAAACAATAAATAATGCAAAAATGCAGTAATTATCTTGATTCTAATGAATACCAAAATGAGGAAAAAATACAAATTTTAAACGAATGATATACTTAAATTTTCTTTCATAGGGATAAAACTTAAATATTTCGGCTGTGCCGCGACACAACCCTTCTTTAGGAGGGAAAAAATGAAATTTTCTTGAACTTAGTTTCATTAAAAAAAAAAATTTTAAAATGTCAAATCAGTAACTTTTCCTTCTTATCACTTTTTGGTTAAAATTTTAGTTATAAATTTGTTGTTACAACGACAAATGGTGAAACGATCCGGATATGGACCTGTCAGCTGAAAAATTATCCGTTATATAAACTTTATTTGATCATATAAAGATAATACGAAGATTGGTTGGTGATCCGCTCTTGATATAACGTGAAAATAAATGTAATAGTAAGAATGAATTAGAGGTATTGTATTTTTTTTTTCTTGAAACGAAGATGAATCCTTTGGATAAAGTGATAATTCAATAAATGCACCGAAATGATAATTGCATGGCCGCAGGTTTTTAGGGTCAGATACCAACTGGTAAACCGCAGTAAATTAATACCATGATGCATTTAGCTGGTATTGGTATACATAAATACATAAATCATCTTTGCAAATTTGACTCTTTTTAAAAGTCAATTTGAAAAAAACCCATTAAAATACAACACTTTCTCAATGTCTTCAGAAAAAAAATAGTTACATCTACTTTGACTGAAAATTTGTAGGGTAGGTTTATTCTCTCAGCATATTTTATTCTGTCTTTTTGATAGTCAAGAAAGTACCTCAATGCCATTTTCTTCCTTTCATTTTTCACAATTTTTGATCAATGCTTTAGATCATTATCTTCTTGCAAGATCCAATCTATGTTACTTTCACCAAAAAGTTTAGAGGTGGAAGCCAGAAGACTCTGCTCATAAATAGTATACATAAATTCAGCATTAAGGTTCCTCTGAAAGCAAAATAGCTTACCAAATCC